TATTATATAATTAAAAAATAAAATTTACTATAATATTATATATATTTATAAAATTAATTTAAAAAAAAATTTTTTAATTTTTTATAAAAGTAAATCAGAAGGCAATTTATAGTAAATAAGCAGGCAAATTTGCTTACGAACTTTTACAGTTTAAGGAATATGTTTATTATAAAAAGTAATAAAATATATCAAAATTATAAAGATAATTTAAAATCTGAATTATCTTTTAAAAGAATATCTATAGCTTCTAAAATAACATCTGTTTTTATCAAAATAGTAAAATAAAAAATAAAGAATTATAAATAGTAATAAAATAGAAAATATATTATATAGGTCCTTTACAATAAAAAAGAGAAAAACAGCTTAAAAAAATAAAAATTGAGTTAATGCTAAATCTAAACATATTTTGATCTAAAAATCATATTTTGCATATAAATGTAAAATTGATTTTTTCTGGCTATTTTCCCCTTTTCTATTGCAAAGGTCCTATATAATTGTAAACGAGAATAAAAAATTAATATTCTATAATCTTTTACTTTATTAAAAGCTATTTCAGTTAATCTTTAAAAAAATTTTGGAATATTGATAAACAGAATAAGAGCCAAGTAACTTTTGAGTTAGCATTTATAAATATATTTTTAAAATTTTTTATTTATCATAAAAAATAAAATTAAAATAAATTAATAAAACATTATTAATATTTTAATCATATGATTTAATTTCAACTAATAAAATTAAATTTTTAGTCATAAGTTAATATGTGTTAACAAAAAAATTAGCTAATTATTAGGATCAGAGATGAGGATTTTCTGCGGTAATTAAGAAATTCTGCGTATGATAAAAGTTAATTCTGTGATTTGGGCCAGAATTATGCAAGATCAGCCAACATTACGATTCGCAAATTCTGGCCAAACTTAGCATTACAAATCGGACCAAAATTTTGAAAATCATGTGAAATTCTGTGAAACACAGAAAATCATCGTCCCCGATTAGGACTTTTATCTATGCTCGCACATCCCCCTTTTTCCTTTTTTTTTCGAGCGCGTCTTTCTTCCGCTCTCTTGTTTCCTTTGTGAGTATTACAGATAATTTATACGAGGCCTGCACTTTAATAGTTCTGTTTTCAACTGTTTAACATGCCCACTACTACCATTCTATTTTGAAGGCAGTCTCTCACTTCCTCATGAACACTTAATACGCCTCACCGTTAAGTACTTTAATCTTTAATTATACTTATCCAACTTTATAAAATCTTTGAAACCCTATTTTGCATTACCAAGTAAGTATGTCTGCCTCTGCTGGGGTGAGTCTAATATATTCTTTTCATTGTATCTGTCCTTTACAAGCTTTCTATATTCGCTGTTCTAATTGCAAACGTCGTTTTCGCATTGTTCTTGTAGCCGTCTGGAACTGCTACCCCTTTCGGAATCTGGTACAAATAACTGGTCGTACTTTGAAGATGTTAAAGGGTTTCTCTGGAGAATATGTCAGCGAATTGCTGGACGCTAACTGGGAAAAAGAAGGCAAAGAAGCAATACTTTCTGCCGCGTCTCTACTGAAATTTCACGTCAAAGACCCTGACGCTAACCAGAACATCGATCTCGACGAGAATTTTTTGGAGACAAATACCAACATTTGTATCAAGATTTGGAATCAACAGGAGGAATCCAATCATCGTTCCGCTACCAGATGATACGTGAAAAACTGCATTCCTTGTCATAAATATGCTGTTTTTTCTCAAAACATTCTTGCTATCATCATTATCCCCACTCGCCATACTTATATTTATCCTTCACTACGATGACGTTATCCGCATATCCGTTTTTCTTTCTTTCTATCTTCGTTTCTATTCTCGCGTCGCGTTTTGTTATGACAGAAAAAAAAAGGTTTTCGTTAAATAGGGATCTTTTTGATCAAATTATTGAAACCAATTTTTCACCATTTTCACCACACACACACGCACTCACTCACTCTCACACACACCCTTCGCCCTTCACCCTTCACCCTCTCTGTCATCGCCATCTTTTCACCATTTTTCAACACACACACACACACGCACACACACACACACCCTTCGCCCTTCACCCTCACTATCATCGCCATCTTTTCACCATTTTTCACCACACACACACGCACGTACACACACACCCCCTTCGTCCTTCGCCCTATCATCGCCATCTTTCACCATTTTTCTCCACACATCCTTCGCCCTTTCGCCCTTCACCCTCTCTATCATCGCCATCGTTACTCCGTATTATTTTATCTATTGAATTATTATAATGTCCATTTTCAACTATTCATCAGCTTACAACGATGATGTCCAGGATATCAATCTCTGGACGCCAGGTAGAAGGTACCCTGACTCGCACACAACGCGTATCAAGATTTGGAATCAACAGGAGGAATCCAATCATCGTTCCGCTACCAGATGATACGTGAAAAACTGCATTCCTTGTCATAAATATGCTGTTTTCTCAACACATTCTCTTGCACTCCTGCTATCATCATCATCTCCACTTGCCACACTCGTATTTATTTTTCATTACGATTACGTTATCATATCCATCCTTCACGATTATTGCCCTTTTTTTTTCTTTTTTACCCTCGCTTCTATTCTCGCGTCGCGTTTTGTATGACAGAAAAAAAAGGTTTTCGTTAAAAAAGGATCTTTTGATTAAATTATTGAAAGCATTTGTTCACCATTTTCACCACACACACACACACGCACCCTTCGCCCTTCTCCCTTCTCCCCCTCTATCATCACCATCTTTCACCATTTTTCTCCACACACACACACGCACACACCATTTCACACACACACACACACACTTCACCCCTCTCTATCATCACCATCTTTTCACAACACACACGCACACACACCATTTTTCACACACACACACACGCACACACCATTTCACACACACACACACACTTCACCCCTCTCTATCATCACCATCTTTTCACAACACACACGCACACACACCATTTTTTCACACACACACACACAAACACACACACCCTTCGCCCTTCACCCTCTCTATCATCGCCATCGTTACTTTATCTATTGAATTATTATAATGTTCATTTTCAACTATTCATCAGCTTACAACGATGATGTCCAGGATATCAATCTCTAGACGCCAGGTAGAAGGTACCCTGACTCGCATACAACGCTTCGTCCAACAATATAGACACCGTATCCGTGATGGCAACACACTTGATGATTTTATTCAGCGTGCATGGCTGCCCGACAGTAAAGCAACAGTATATTGAGTAATCGCTTGAGAAATGGCTTCGCAAATGAATTTATTCATCGACTTCTTTGGCTCCTGGCTCTAATCATCACTCTGCGACACTACTGAGGTGGTTGTGAGAGTAACTAAAACATGAACGGGTTAAAACCCGTTATCTCGATCCTACTTCCTTTTTTGGCTCCCACAAGGGCACTGCTCTCTCTTTTTAGAAGTGAAGCTTGAAAACCCCTGTTCTCCTGATTCAATGATGCAACTTTTAGACTATTTCACCATCGCACCCGATGCACAACGTCACCGTGATCGTGGGAGCCCTTGTCCCGCCTAAGGCACTTGTTCGTGCATATGTCAACAGGGATAAACAACAAATTCATATTTATGAACTCAATGAACTTATGCCTACCAACTGGAATTAAAACAAGGACATACCTCCTTCCATTCCATCAGATTCTTAGTAATGCCAGTAACCCTCCCTAATAAAGTTCCAATTCTATCCGTTCTAAATTCGGATACCGTCATCCGTCGGATAAATCAGATAGATCGGATGGGCATTTTATTGACGGATCGGATGATAATCCGATTCGGATGAATCAGATCATCCGTCAAATTCGATCGCCTTAAATAGGTAAATAGTTTTAAAGAAAAAAATTTTTTTAAACCATTTTTTTTTTATTGTAACGCAGTAACGGAACAACAAGGGAACAGTGGCTTATACAGGCGTTAAACTTATCTCGGGTTAAATTTTTTTTTTTGTATTTCTTTTTTTATGAACGACATTAAGTCAGTAACGACATGATGGGAATGATCTTAGGTAAATATTTATAGAAAGTTTCCCTTTTTCTAGTTTCTAGAAACAGAATTAATTGTTCCTTTCTTATATTATGAATAGTTTCGGCAGGTTATAATGACTTTAGGTAGGTTTTTGTTTTTTTTAAGATTTTTTTCTTTTTAGGATGGCATTAACCATTCCTTCTTACTTTTTTTTAGGAATGGTTCTTTAGCTTGACGGCTTAGGTTCCTTGGAATGATCTTAGGTAAGTGTTGGAGAGATTTCGTGTTTCTTTTAAGTTCTGAATTAATGCTAAATGGCTATATCTGATTGAAGTCGATCAGCATCTATTAGCATCTGAATTATTGCTAAATTGAGGCTAATTTTAGGCTGAATTTAAGTTCTAAATTGATGCTGAATGGCTATGTCTGATTGGAGTTGATAAGTGTCTATCGGTACCTGCTTGTACTGATCAAAAAATATGATAAATCACCCATAAATAGTATCAAATTCAATTTATAATCAGTTATCTGATTTTTAGCCAATTTGGACTATTTTGATTAGTGTGCAAATAGATTACTTTCTAAATCAATTTTCTTTAATTGTAAATAATTACTAATATTATCATTAATTGAAATAATTTTCTTCTTTAAGTTTGTAAAAATAATATATGTTTTTTGTTTTTTTCTTATTATTATTTATATTTATAAGTAATACTAAATCATTATTTAAATTTTGAAATTTTAACTCTTTATACAGTCAACTCTCTTTAAATGCATCCTCTTAAAATCATAGTGAAAATTTTAAAAAATGTGTATTTAAAGAGGATATGCATTTAAAGAAAAAATTTCTATATGAATTCTATATACTTAAAATTGAACAAGAGCATGTATTTAGAGAGAAAATATATAATGTATGTAATTAAAAAGGATGCATTTAGAGAAGGTTGATTGTATTTCTCTTCTAATAAATCTTTATTTCCAAAATGTTTTGAATCAAAACAAATTAAGATTTTTCATTTTTAGATTTAAGTAAAGTAAGAAAAAGTTTATCAGGTGATATAAGATTGTTCAATAATAATTCATTGCTATAAAAAGGCTGTGTTTAATTTAATCAATTAAATCATAATAATTAATAGAATTATTAATCTTAATTCTTTTATTATTTATTAGTTGAAAATTATTTATTATTATTTATTTTAACTTGTAATTATTCATTTTCTTTTACTGTTATATCTTTATTAAATGTTATATTGTTATCATCAAAATTAATTAGCTGCTATAATACCATAAATGTTAAATAATAAAATCCTTTGGATGTTAATTAATATAAGATTTATTTTTGAATAAGTACAATAATTACTTTTTTTTAAAAACTCTATAGCTTTTGTATAAGGTTGTAATACTAAATCAAATCTTGAATCAAATTCTATTCATTTGAAATTAACATAATATTATTTAACTTTTTATAATTTTTTTTTGAATCTAAATCATTTTTTGTAGCAAAGATATTAATTAACATAATAATATGATTTTTAAGTTTTAAAAGCTACTGCCAAGTTAAATATAATAAATTTCATCATGTTGGTTTATCAGATATAACATAAAGAAAATATTTAGATATTTTTCTAGAATTCTATATTATATATAAAATTTTTTAACATAATTTTTTGAAAAAAATAAAATTATAATAAAAATACTTACTTTTAAGATTATTATTTAAATCTAAAAATTTTTAAATATCTTCTAAATATTTAATTTGTTTAATCATAAAAAATTGATAAAATATTTTATATACACTATTAATACTTTTGCTAATTTTATAACCTTTTTAACAATTAACTGTAAAGTAAGAGCTATATATCTTAACTAATTGATATTTTTCATATCTAAAATTGCTTTTTTGACATTAGAATTATTATTTGTTATTATGATAAATACTAATTTACAAATTTTCCATTTCTTTAATACTTTCTTAAGCATTTCAAGAATATATTAAGAAGTATGTAAATATTTTACATAGGTTATATCCAAAGTATATTCATATAATTTAAATGAATTATTAATAAATGAACAAATAATTTCAAAAAAACCTTAGAGATTCTTAGTAATCCAAAGATTTAAAATTAAGACACTGATTTAGCTTGATTTTTAATAATTTGTTGCATTTTAAAAAGAAAAATTAAATGCATTATGAATAATACCCTTTACAGTTTCTGAATAAGGTATAATAAAGATAAGATATAGTTGATTAATAAATTGGTAAAATATTAGATTTGTAATAATACTAATTGGTTGGATTATCCAATCAACAAAATATGCTATAGTTCCTTTTTGATTTTTTGTTGAATAGTGTTATGATCCTTTATATCTTGATTATCTAGATCTTTTGGTTAAATTTTTAATAATTATTTGAAAATTTGAAAATATGTTATTAAATAAAGAATTTATTAATTTACAATATCAGATAAGAAATCTTTAGTAATATCATGCTTATATCTTAAATGATTTATTACATTACCAGTAGACCCACTACTCTTGATATATGTTTTTCTACATAATGTTTGATTAAAAGTATCAATAATTTTACAGACTATTACTTGACATGATATGCCTTTTATTTCTTCATCCCAATAAGTCTAAACCCAGCTAGTTTTTTTTTGCTATCTTAATAGAGTGAGTCTTATTATCATTAAGTAATAGTGCATTATTAGAACTTCAGTTTCATTAAGTGGTACAGTAGCGGTCATAAGTATCCGACCGCCCGAGATCGTCCAAAATTATTATATAACTACCCCTTAAATTTTCC